CTACAGTAAAAGGGTTTAGGGTTAAGGCTTTAGGGTTTAGGGTTGAGGGTTTAGGGTTCAGGGTTTAGGGTTTAGGGTTTAGGGTTTAGGGTTAAGGGTTTAGGGTTTAGGGTTAAAAAGCATCCTGGGCGTAGACCAGGGCGGCGCCCGGTCTTCGATGTCTGCGCGCGTCAGCAGCTAAGTGTGAAAAGTTTGCGAAAGTGCGGCTGCCTGGCAGGCACCACGGCAACAGTTGCAATTGCTGGTAATGCTGCCGCTACTGTCAATTATTACTATGACGGCGAGGACATCGTCGTACAGATCCTCATAGACCCTGTTTGGCCTACTATAGATCATCGGTAATATGTGAAAATGGAAAAGAAAATGGAAACTACTGAAGTATATTGGGGGCCAACGGAAAAGAGCATGGAAACTACCATAAAATATTGGGGCAATATAGGGATAATGGAAAAGAAAATGGAAACTACTATAGAATATTGGAGTAATATAGGGATAACTGATGTATTGCTTTGTGCACCTCTGACTGCGTCTAAGGCGTTCCCACGCGAGCAGCTGAAGCGCTTGAGTTCGCCACACGTGTTTAAGCAATGACACTGCTTCGACGGGAATTTCCAAGCCTCGGGCGCGAGCCAGGGAATTCGAAGCTTTCTAGTGATTAGGAGATTCTGGGAACCCTCATCGGTCAGTAGAGCAATTTTTCCAGGGCCCAGACCTCTGTGATTCCACCTCCCATCTGCTATCTCTTCGCCAGGTGATGAAGTCCGCGACATGAAAGAGAGGTATGAGGCTTTCCGCTCCTCTTATATACGCATAATGAGAAAGAAAATGGAAATTACTATAGAATATTGGGGTAATATAGGAATAATGGAAAAGAAAGTGGAAACTACTATAGTATACTGGGGTAATACAGGGATAATGGAAAAGAACACGGAAACTACTATATTAGATTGGGGTAATATAGGAATAATGGAAAACTGAAAACTACTATAGTATATTTGGGGTAATATCGGGATAATGGAAGCTACCATAGTGTATTGGGGTAATATAGGGATAGTGATGTATCTCTTAGGGCAGGGCTAACATCAGTCAGACTGAGCAAGTGTGCCAATGTTGCCTTGGCGTTGCTGGTATGACAGCTTATTGACAGAATCCAAGGGACGAAAAGGCACACAACAGCCTCAAGTCCACTAATGATAGGCACGAGCACCGCTATGTCAGCATGCAGCATGCATGTAAGATTTCGCCACAACCAGGATAGTAGAGTTTTGATTTAACTGGTCACGCGCTCAGACTAAGCTCCTTCAGACCAGCTTTCAGATTTGAATAGATCAAGGGTATGTAGTAAGGGTGGTTTGGCAACATTCCAGTTCTTTGTTTGGGAGCATTCCACAAGGTGATGATCATGCTCACTGGATCTCGCAACCCAACGATCCCTGAACAGCCGGACGCTTGGCGAGGCCATGTTCGTGGAGAAGCTCGACTTCTTCTCCGTCGCCTCGCGCGTTGCGAGGCTGGGTGGATTTGAAGGGCCTCTCAAAATCATGGACGTCTGTTCCCGGAGCCATTGAGGAGCATATTGGCAATAGCATCAGGAAATCTTCAGCCGGGATTGTTAAAAGCCGGCCTTCAGTTGTCAAGTGGATGCCGTTCTCAACCCCCGCCTCTTGTAACATGACT